GTTGCAGCCATCATTGTTGTTTGGCAGGCCCAGGCTGGGGATTCGAACCCGCCACCTTACGTGTATGTGGCTGGCGCCTTAGCCGCTTGAGCCACAGGCGCCGAGCCTGCAGCCTGTTTTTTCTAAGGCACTCTGCTACCTTCTATTCACAGCCCTGGCAGCTGTGCCTGCACCTGCACCTGAGAGGTACATACTCTAAGTTGGGCTTATCAGATGCTCTTTCTCCGAGGAGGTCAGCCCCAGTTCTCTTTGGGGAGGCAGAACTATTCTTGGGCCCTGGGAAGCCGTCATGCACCAGCCTAGGCCTAGGAACAGAGATAGTCTATGTTCTCAAAAAGGAGCAAATGGTGTGTTCAGACATGCAGGAGAGGATCTGTAGGGCCTTCCTGATTCCTTCTATCCCTTCCAGGCCCAGTTGCACCTCTGGTCTGGGTGATCTGGGCTTCTGGGAGGCCTGGCCTTGTCATCACAAACTTTCCTCTAAGCCGAAGCAAGCTGGAGTGGCATCTGTTATCTGCAACCCAGCAGTCTTAGCTCAAACGTCCCCTTCCCACCTCCAACCCTTGTCTGAGACCCCTGTGCAGTCTGGGTGATGTGGCTGTTAACAGAGCATATGTTCCTGACAGCAATCTCCACCAACCCCTATTCTGATGCCAACAGAGAAAGGAAAGAGCATGGGGGCAGGGCTTTAAAGGAACAGTCATATGTGAAAATGTGGAGATGGGAGAAACTCAGAGACTGTGTGTCCCTAACATCTTCTTGGGACATGCATAAATAATGGTGCTCTTGTCTCCCTCCCCAGCAGGCCTGATACCTGTTGAAGGCACATGTGGAGCCTCTTCTCCTTGCCTAGAGAAGGCGGTCCTTCAACATTTGTCAGGTTAAAGTGAATTCTGTTCTCATGGTTACTAGGTTACTAAGCAGCCTTATTTTCCTAATTCAGCGGACAGAGGAAAGATGGCCATTTAGGCTATCAATAGACCAAAGTGACAGTGAGGAAGGAGGGCCCCTGGAATGGGCCCCTCCAGTGAAGACCCTTCCAGGGGAAGTGTGGAAAATCTCAGGGTCCCTAACTTGAAGCCCAGGAGCACCAGGGAGGGTGGGGAAGCTGCCTACCCCAAGAGCCACCTCCTGGGAAAGCAAAGGGACACAGTGGCACAGGCACCCTCTGGGGACTGACACGGGAGCTAGCCAGTTAGAAGCTGAGTGGACACCTCCCTGAAAGCCATGGTCTTTATATGAGTCCCTATTTTCCTGCCTGTGGCTATGGGATTAGAAGACCCAGAGGAAAGTCTAGCGAGGAGAAAAAAAGATCAATTCACATTTTTATCTCCTTTGCTCCTCAGCTGAGACCTGACAAAGGCAGAAGCCACAGCCTATTCACTTCTGTATCTCTCAAAGTTTTGACCAAGTTTTAAATCATCAAGTTTATCAAATTTCTTCTTCTTCCCTTTTTCCCCTAAGAGACAGAGTCTTGCTCTTGTTCAGGCTGGTGTCAAACTTCTGAGCTCAGGTGAACCTTCTACCTCGGCCTCCCAGAGTATGAACCACTATGCCCAGCCTTGAATCATACATTTCAGATCAATAAACTATTGCTGATTTACACTATAGTTTCTGTCATGCCTTTGGATAAAAAGAAGCTTCTGTCATTTTTCTGCCTAAGCCCCTAGGCCCAATTTCCTATTCCTAGGGACAAGGTCCCACAGAGCCACTGTCCACACAGAATCTGGCCAGACCCTAGCCACCAGGCTCTGACACTTTCAAAGAAACATCACCTCCAGCTCCTCCAGCCCTCCTGCCTCACTCCCACCCCCACCCCAGCCAGTTCACTTTCTTCAATGGAAAGAAAAACCTTCAGTGGAAAGAGTATTTTTAGACTCTAGTGCTAGGGCACGGGGGTGGGGGGGAGAGACAGGAGAGGCAGGACAACTCTGAGGTTACTCTACCAGGATGACACCACTTTTGTTCCTGAAAACAAGTTCAAGGGAAAAGCTGAGGGATGATACACAGCAGGAGTATCCTCTTTGTCTTCTCAGTAAATGGGACTGAGCTCGAGCAAACAAAAAGAAGCCACAAGAGAAGTCAAGGGCCTAGATGACCACTCGGGGGTGAAAGCTAGATATTGCCAGAAGTGGTGCCTTTGGTAGTCCAGGGACAGGAGCAAGTGGCTAACCAGGCTGCTCTGCTCTTCCCACCTCCCTCCAGGGATCCTGGCTCCATCCAGAGGGCAGATGCCTGCAGTGGGGATAAGCCAGCTGGGCCCTCACACCCCAGAACTATGCTGCCATGAGGTTCACCACTGGGCTGGGTCTTAGGGAAAACAGACGGCAGTCTTTGGGCATTCTGATAGGCAGGGCCCTCTGGAGTACATGAACCCAAAGAGTTGTCTTTGTCACCGGAGCTGGGGAGGCTACAGATGGCTAGGGTGCAGCTGGAAGACACGGAAAGCCTCCATGCTGAAAAGGATGGAATGGGGTGGGGGTGGCGAGGCATTAGCTGGGTTCTTATTACAGGTGGCCCAGGGGACTGCTGAAGGCAAACATGTGCCACTGGAAATGCGACTCCTGTGGCCAATCCTAAGCTAACCATGCCTGTGATAAGCACTCAAATCAGGGACTCAGAGGGATGTGGACTGGGGGCTGGCAGATGTACCAGGATGAGCTCTACCCCACCGCCTACAGGCACAGGGAGACTCTAGGAAAGGTGGTCTGATCACTCTCCTGTCCCTCAACCTGCTGCAGCCCTGCTTCCATCCTCAGGGGCAGCCAAAGGGGTGGGGCTCAGGCCAGTGGTGGGTGATCAGAGCCATGGGTTCCACGTCTGCCAGGAGCACCAACCATGTGCCAAGGGCAGGAGGGGCTGGTGGGGCCCATCTGTGCAGTCCCTTCACCTTGAAAGCTTTTCAAGTGCCAAGATTCAGATTGTCATGTATCAAGTTTCAGATTGTATCCCACCTGCAAACAATCAAAAGCTGGCTCATGTCCTTCCTGGCTATCACTTGCAAACATTAATTTCTCCTGTTAAACTGCTAGTTCCCTGAGAGCAGGGCTGGGACTGACCCAGCCATACTTCCCAGGCAGCTGGGCTTGGGAGAGCACCAATAGCATTCTGATACCAACGACAGTGACAGTGAGGAAGAGTCCATTACTGTTCTAGCACCTATTAGCTGAACCTCTTTTCAGTCTAGCCATATTCTTCATTCATTCATTTAGGACTCTGTTGCCCAGGCCAGGAGTGCAGTAGCACTATCATAGCTCACTGTAACCTTGAACTCCTGGAGGCTCAAGTGATCCTCCTGGCTCAGTCTCCCAAGCAGTTCAAGCTATTGTCCTTGGCTAATTTTTTCTTATTTCTTTTAGAAATGGGATCTCACTATATTCTCCAGGCTGATCTCAAATGCCTAGCCTCAAGTGATCCTCTTGCCTCAGCTTCACAAAATGCTTGGATCACAGGTGGCTCAGGCTAGCTGTATTTATGATAGCCTGCTACCTAGTCATAGGCTGATAGGTACACACCCACCCCATTCTTGTTTCATAGTGGGAATAGCAGTTTCTCTCCCAGAGGAAATTATTCTTTGGGGTAAGAATTCTTTGTGCAGTTTTTGAAAATATATTCAACATGCAAATAAATTTTTTTTTCTCAAAGGGGTTAAAAAAGTTGATCCACTATAATATTCCATTCTCATCAGATGGGCTATAATGAAGAAGATGGAAAATGGGGCATATTGGTGAGAATGTAAGGCAACAAAACTGCATGCTGGAGGGAGAGAGCACTGGAGAATGAATCAGAGCGTGGGCATTCCCCACCGCCAGCAACGTGGCTCCTAGGTGTTGGGTTGAACATAGGAAACTGTCAATATTTGATCATTTTTGACCCACAAAGATGGCATATATTCAACCGCTACACACCCATTAAAAATGAATACGTTTGCTCGCCAAGAGACGTGGTGAATGCTTATAGCAGCATTTTTCATAATAGCCCCAAATTGCAAACACCAAGTGCCCATCAACAGTGGGAGGGATAAATTATACTGCGGCACATTCCCACAATAGGGCCTGGCCAGCAAAGGGAACATGGGAGCAAAAGACCTACAACCACAGGCCACAGCTCTCAAGATACCCACAAACACAGCAGAACCAGCCACGACAGGCACCGGAGCACTGCTGTAGAAGCCCACATGCTGAAGAACAGGAAAAACACCCTGTGCGGTGAGACATTAGCCAGTGACCATCCTGAGGAGTGGGAGCCTTCTGGGTGCCAATCACATTCTGCTCTGCAATAGAGGGTATGTTCAGTTTGTAAAGATTTATCAGGTTGTGTGCACTTTATTGTGTGATTTCCTGTATATATAGATAATTCAATAAAAAGTAAAAGAAAAAAAGGCTAAGGATGTTATGTATTCTTTTGGTCCATCCCATTAAAGAAGTGGAGCCATCCACAGCTACCTGATGCCTATTGCTCTTTGCCTTGAGTGGCCATGAGGATGGGTAAGAGCATTTCAGCAGCACACTGTGAATCTGAGCAGGATGTGTACATCCCTATAGGTTATCAGCCTCCACCTAGAAGGACCCTTACTCAAGGTCTCTTGTGTCCCACAGCTGGGCCAGGGAACTATATCCAGTGTGTCCAGGCCAGGCAGGAGCCTGTGAGGTAGTTCAAGGCCCTGTTCTGCTCAGGTCCCAGCCAGCAGGGGATACCTTGGAACAGGTGCAGACGGTTGTGCAGGGTGGGCTGGTAGAAACCCCAGGCCCTGTTCTACAGATAAGGAGGTAAATGCCTGGGGAATTTGCCAGACTTGCCTGAGGTTAAAAGCAGGCTGGGTAGAAGCTGGAAGGAACTGGGATATGGGGAGGAGGTGATTCCAATGTGAAAGCTTCAAGGTGAGGGTGGGGTGTGCGGGGACAAGCAGTTTCTGGGACAGAGGCTCTGTCTACCCTCAGCCAGAGTCCCCACATAGTCAGCAGGGACAGGACATGACCCCTGTGATGGCTGTGATGGCCAGGGATGGGCTGACAACACTACCTGGCCCTGACAGGCCTCTAGGTTAAGACGCTCTTCCCAGAAAGCGCTCCTGCCAGGTCTGCGGTCACTGGAGGCCTTGCCCAGAGTTGTCTCTGCATAAGAGGTTCAGGCTGGGTGATCCCTCTTTTGTGAGAAGAAGCCACCATTTGTTTTCCTAAAAGCAATTTCTGGGGGTTGAGGCAGAGGGAAGGGATGGTGGGGGAGGAGAGTGCATATGTGTGTGTGTGGGTGCGCATGTCCGTCCTTGAGAAAGAGAAGGGTTCTGCTGTCACCCTGTCCTCCCCTCCCTCAGAGCTACAGTGAACTACATTCAAACATTCATTTTTTAAAAGTACTTACAATAAACCCACTCTACACATTTAACTGCTCTAGACCTTAGGGCCATCGTGTTCCAGGGCTCTCAGAGAACCAAGAGGGAGGCAGACAAAAGTTAGCAAAGCCAAGCTGGAAGACCATAACGACAGTGCTCTGAGAGAGGATGTGTGCACGCAAACTGGGGGGGGGAGGCCTCTGAGGTGCTTCCAAATGGTGAAGAGGACCCACTGCTCCAAGAAGGCAAGTGAGGGAGCCTGGGCTTAGAGAACAGACAAAGGCAACAGGCTCCTCAGCTCGGCCTCCTGCTGCACTCTAGTGCCTGTCCCAGCAGCACCTGGAGAGCATGGAGCCCACCCCCATCCCCTCCTCTGCTGGCTGCCTCCTTTCACCCTACTGGAGCCCCACACATACCCCTTCCTCCCTGAGCTGATCTGTCCTCTAGGCCCCAGCAAGCCCATCTTGCCTCTGCCACAGGACCAGTCATACAGGATGTGCTTATTAACTTATGGATACCCAGCCTAAAATTGACATCTGTGTGGCCCCAGTTCAGAACCCTTCTGTGGGTTTCCACTGCCTTTAGACCAAGCACAAATCTCAGCATGGATGGCCACAAGCCTTTGACCATCCTTCTGGCCCTATCTCCTGCCTGCTCCTTCCACCCTCAAGCCCAACCTTAGATGTTCCTCATTACACCCTCTTCTCCATGTGATGGTTTTCACAATATGTCCACAAATTCTTTGACCCTCCTCTCTTCAAGAGGTGGAGTTTAATTCCCCTACTCTTGAGGCTAGATATGGTGATTCCCTTCTAACAAATAGAATATGACAGAAAAGATGGTATGGGACTTCCAAGGACAGGTCATCAAGACATAATCTTGAAGTCTACATGGTGAGACACTCAGGCCTCCTGCCAATAGTCAGCAAGGAGCTGAGGCTTCCTGCTAACAGCTGTCTGGGGACACCATCTTGGAAGTGGAGATGATGCAACCTCAAGAGAGACCCCAACCCGGATCCCAGCTGGCTGCTCCTGAATCCCTGGCCCACAGAAACTGTAATAAACACTTGGTTGAAACAGCTAAGTCTGGGGTCCATTGTTACAGAACAAGTTAATAATCAACACATGCCATGTGGGTCAGCTCTCTCACACTCCTGGGCCTTTGCACACGCTTTTCCCTTTGTTGGTGATGCCGCCTACACTCTGCCCTTTCCACCAAGTTTCTTGTCATTTTTTAAGAACCAACAGAAATGTTGGGTGTGGTGGTTCATGTCTGCCATCCCAGCACTTTGGGAGGCCAAGGTGGGCAGACTGCCTGAGCTCACAAGTTCAAGACCAGCCTGAGCTAGAGTGAGATCTCTCTAAAAATATCCAGGTGTTGTGGCGGCTGCCTGTAGTCCCAGCTACTTGTGAGTCTGAGGCAAGAAAATCACTGGAGCCCAAGAGTTAGAGGTTGCTATGAGCTATGACACCACAGCACTCTACTGGGGGTGACAAAGTGAAACTCTGTCTCAAAACAAAACAAAACAAAACAGAAGTGTCTTCTCCTCAGTGAAACATCCCTTAACACCATTCTGACTCCATCCCCAATCTTCCTGCTCCACACTTGGCTCCTGCATTGTGATCTCACCAATCCTGCACACAGCGGCTCTCACATGGTCCTTTCTACTGCACATTGTCTTAGAGGCCTAATGAGGCCCCTCTACTACCCTGGTGGGCAGCAGATGGGCAGGCACCTGGCCAGAAAGCTTCCTGGAGGCTGTGACAATTTACTGGAGTGTCACTAACTAGGGTTTCATTCCAGTGGGATGAGTATTTAAAAAATATATAGTGCTCCCTTTGCCAGCGCATATACTAAAAAACATAAGTATTAAGTATTTTGTACCAAATATTTAAATGTAAACCCTTCCACTTTTTCCTCCTAATGGAGGAACAGCATGAAGTTTCATCAGTAAGAGACTTCATCTCACTTTGTTCCAATAAATGGGGCAAGGGAAACTGACCTACCTGGATCAGAGCGAGCACTTTGTCCTGTACGATGGTGGGAGGGTTGTTCTTGGGAGAGATGATTTTGACGAGAACACTGTCAATGAAGTCTCTGTTGGCTACAAGGATGTGGAAGCGGTGGCCACAGTTCTTCACACATGTCTCCAGCACCTGGGGAGGGAAGGCAAGAGGTCACCCCCATGGGGCTTGGAGGAGACACAGGGAATGGAGGAGGGCAGCTGAGTTTCCAACCCTCCTCTGCCTTGCTCCTGGATCAGCTTTCTGACATGTCTCCACCAGAGCCAGCCTAGACGGCCCCATATCCCACACTCTAATTCAGATGTTCCTCTGGGGATGACAGCAGCCCTTTGCTGACTAAAGTCTCCTGTCTCTGCACAAAAATCAGGCAATTAGTTGGTAATTGAGGTATCAGTTTTCATGGGAAGGATGCTAGTATTTTAACGGGATCAAAATGACTGAGTGGTTCCTGAAAATTAGCATTTTAACTCCTCTCTGCAGGCCTCTGGGTGTAAGCATTAGCTAATGGGACACAGGTTGTGTCACAAAAGGAGGCTGCTGTGGGCTCAGCGCCTGTGGCTCAAGTGGCTAAGGCGCCAGCCATGTACACCCAAGGTGGCGGGTCCAAATCTAGCCCGGCCTGCCAAACAACAATGACGGTTGCAACCAAAAAATAGCTGGACGTTGTGGCGGGCGCCTGTGGTCCCAGCTACTTGGGAGGCTGAGGCAGGAGACTTGCTTGAGCCCAGGAGTTGGAGGTTGCTGTGAGCTGAGAT